ATCACAAACCTAGCAAGAGTCAAAAGAGGTAGGCAAACATCTTGTTCATCAAACAGCATTGGTGGCTGAGAGACAGACAAAGCAATCTTCCCTCTCTTTGAAACCCTGGTAAGGTTTCAGAAGACTGTTCTGGCTTTTGAGGCAGCAGAGTAAGCAGAAGACTTTCAAACATGGCCTCTGAGAAAACATGGAAAGAATGACTGCTGTTCAGGACTAGAAAAGATGATGATTAAGGAGCTGTAAAGAAAATCTTTGAACACACAGAAGTTGCAAAAAGGAGCAATATTTCTTGTCTTAGGAGTGGTTGTCTCTAATGATGGTGGACAGCGAAAATATAGATTTAGAATTAGCCATTAAGGTAACCTCATGGGAAGGCTGCAGAATGGCTAGAATTTAAGATCATGACTTTCAGGCTATGCAAGATTACACATTAGCTCTCTTGTATCACTGATCTTATCTCAGGATGGAGGGCATAGTGTCTGGATGACATCTTGAGACCCTGCCACAGCAGCTGCGTCTGTGTGTTTGGTCTCTGTTTCCAAGGGTGTTATTTCAGGGCAGCCAAGAAGCCAGAAATTCTGTTCTATGGGAAATTCCAAACCATACAGGGTTAAGAGTATAGGATATCCTCTTTTGTAACTAACCATAGAACCGTGATGGTCCTCATGGAAAAGAAAATATTAAAAAAAAAAAATAAAAAGTAAAAATAAAAAAGGATATTTTGATTGCTTCAGAAGGAAATCAAGTCTGGAAACTCATCATTCTAATGCCATGCATTTTAAATGTGGCTTGCAGGCTCCTGAATCCATTTTCAGTCTTGGTACAGATCAAGTGTCAGGACTCACTGCTCAGCTGAGGGGCTGAAGGTCTCAAAGCATTTGAGCTCCCTATTGCTCAGACAAAACCTTGGATGTCCAAGCACACCAGTGTCATCATGAGTTACACACCATGGAAACGCATTCCCATTGCTATGTAGTTTTGACAAAAGGCTCACCACAGATTTGCAGTGACACTTTGCGTGTATTCCTTGCTGTCCATTGAAATCCAGTGTTTACATGGGAAACTTTGGCTAGAGTAAAGCAATATTTTCCAACATCTGCCATGTGTGCCATGTCCAAGAGTGTTCTTTAGAAGAGACAAGCCTTTGTATGTCAAAAGTTTGTTACCAGAGGAAACACCAGTAGATGGAGCACAAGACTAGACAGTGCTGCTCTTTGACGCTGTAAAAACAATTAATATAATCACTCCTCACTGCACACAGCTTGTGATAACAGAGCTGGGGGCTGGAGGACAGGAATGGCCACCAACTCTATGCCCAGCTTGAGTTTTCTTGCTGCTGTATTCCTGATGAGGGATTTTTTTCTGCTTTGATATTTACAAACTTATTTCTTGTCTGACTTTATTAGTATTGCACTTTAGGCTTAGCTCATTCACTACTTCTGTTATCATTGTATCTATCCCTACAATTTTCTGTTTCTCGAGTGTTTAATATGTTACCTCTTAGCAAAATGTTTTCGTAGCTTTTTGCAAGTCCCTGAGGAGTTTGCACTGCTTGACCATGTTCCACCACCACCAGCTCTGAAAATCACCTAGTTCTCTACGAATGTCAAACTCTAAAACTTCTAACTTAGCTTCATCAGCAAACTTCATGAACATACATTTATTTTTTGTGAAAGAGTCAGCGATGACCGTATGAAATGAGATTAGCCCTGAATCAATACCATTACTTGAGTGGTTGCCTTCCTCTCTTTGTTAGCTATTTTCATCTCTCATTAGATATTTGTAACCACCTCACATTTTCTGTCCTCGTTCCCATCTTATGTAGGTTCTCCCAAATGTCCAATCCAGCAAATGATTTTTTCCCCAGGAAACTATCTGGTTAGCCTAGCACCATGTCTCTCTGTGTTCCTATTGCACTATATCCCATTTTTTACTCAGCACTATGTCTTTTACTGACACCTTCAACAATTTATCCAAAGCTGCAGTGCAAGTTCTGGCAAAAAATGGAAGTTTTAACTTGCTTGTCCATCATTCTTCTATAAAACAGAACTAACATTTCTTTCTGCCACTCTTTATCTTAGTTTCCCAAGGCCAAATTGGTCTCCGCTATTGTGCAATGCATAGTAAAGCCCTGATCTTGCTGACAATCACCCGAGCATCGAGAAAAAGCCATGTGTGAGACAGAGGAGGCAAAACACCATGCCAAGATACCACCCTGAACGTTGCTTTTCATTCAGCTTTCAATCTTTCCCCTTCTGCTATTCTGACATTTTTCCTATAGTGCCAAATATGGGAAAAAATCCTGTATTTATCCCTCTAGAAATAATGTACGAGAAGGTACAGAAACAGAGCAAGGGTAAAAAAAATCCCTATCAGACAGAATAAAAGAAGCAGCATGGATAAAGCTGTAGTTTCCAGTATCAGTGCCTGCCAGCTTCAAGGACTCACTTCCCAGAATGACAAGCTGGGTGAAAGTTTCTTGGAAGAGCAGCTTTGTGCAGAGGACAATGTAGAGCACATAGTCCCAAAGACAGATGTTATTTTCCATGGGCCTCCGCTCTTTCATGGCAAGTGTTTTCTTCATACTTTCCATTTTTTAAATAGCTTTGTAGAAATTAATGCTCTCCAAGTTCCTCACAAGAAAGAAATTACTTCATCAAAACAGAACATCTGTGTTTGACTGACTATTAACGGCCCATGTCCGTCACTTTCTATTATTTGCCTTATCTGTCATAAAACAAAAGATTTTACCATATCGTATTTTTTTAATTAATCTAAAAATGTGACCACTTGTTTTTCAAATGTACATGAGGTACTAGGACATAAAGTCATCTCTGTGGGACTTCTTCAAGATTGCCCTTTCAGTTTCACTTTTATTATTAAGAATGCTCTAAAACAAACTTAACCCTAATATACCCTGATATACACAAAGTCATTAGTATACTACAATGTGTGCTGCCTTCTTTAAGGGCTTCTCTAGGATCAGTGGATGGACCATGATATTTTGGGGCAGACAGCTGCAATGTTTAGGTTTATGCAAGTTCTTTGGTGATTCTGTAATGGGTGCTATTTCACCGTGCTGCTTCTGCAGCACAGCTTTACAATGCATTCACGTAAATTAGATTTTAGCAAAGGTTAATTGTTCCCATAACCATTGTTTCCTTTTGTGGGTTTGCCTTTAAACCTTTGACGTTCTCTTTATTGTACCTCTTGCTGTGCAAATTTCCTTGTTTTGTTTTGCTTCTCAAAGTAATTTTTAGTTGATTATTGTGTAGTTACAGAATTAGAGTAATAACATCTAATTGTACATCTGAAGCAAAAGCATGTAATTGTGGGAAACTAAATTCAATTTAAAGGAAGAAAACCCCTTCACCAGGGTTTCTCATGGTTTGCAGTGTGCATTTGCCAGGCAGCGTTGCTTTGATTGCATCTAACCTGCAATTAGCATGTGCAATTAAGACATAATGAATGTGTGCAATTGCATTATTTCAGTACGTAAGGGTAGCAATATTTAGCAGTTACTGTACGAGATATAGTGCCTATAAGCTCAAATGACTCATCAGCATTTACCAATTATACAAGAAGGAGGGCAGGCACGTGAGTGGGCCTTACGTACAACCAATTTCCAGGATGAGCACACTTTACTCTCCTGTTGATGGCCCACAGAAGTAGCCACCAGGGAAGAGAGGCTATGCTGATGTGGAGCTGTTGAAAACTGGGGACTAAAATGACACTTTTAGTGTACCATTGACTTTTCATAGAGCTCACGTGATATAAAAAGAGACAGCATACTTAGTCTTTAATATCTCTGAGTTGTTCTCCTCCTCTGCAGTTAACATTTCGTATCAATTTCTTAAGTCTGATCATGCTACCAAAGGATTTAGAAATAAAAATTATTTGAGCATGACCTAATGCTATGATCTGTGTGTATGAGAAAGCCTTGAACACAGAGCAGGCTTTTACACACTCTTACCTGGCATTCTAGGAAGGCAACTCTCCTGTTCTACCAGGATTTTCTGAAAGGACATTTCTTGTCCTTTAAGGGTCAAATGATATTTGAAGAGCGTCTTAATGCATCATGGAATGATACAAATGAAAATACATCTCAATTCAGTCTTACAGAAATAAAGATAAATCTGAATCTTCAGGCATGAGCCTTGACTAGATAAACTGAGATGTTGTGAGTGCCAAACTGCTGGTATTGAAATGAAAGATCCCAGTGATAAAACTCAGGGCCCAATCCAGCAATGGTTTCCCTTTAAATCAGAGACAGAGGAACTAAAATCATACATAACCAGACTCTATTGATTAGTATTAATCTATCACAGAAAATCGTACTCGAAGCCCTGAGACCAGGACAGCTTGCTTTAGGCATGATGATTTGTGTATGTGATTTTGCATACCGGATCCAACACAAAATGCCCAAAGTTCTCACAAGATGCACCCACAGAACTGATAGCAAAAACTACCTCAGCATCCCTTCTGTCTAAATATTTCCTCTCTTCCTAAAGCTCCATATTGAAAAAAGATTATTAAAAGTAGACGCAAGAAATTACAAACAGTGAATCTGCCAGTGGATTGGTTTCTACGCTGATTTATAGCTGCACTTCACTACTTTCAGAACTCGACTTAGCATGCTGAGAAATGGCACTTCTTGTAACTAAGAGTTGGGAACTCATTAGCCAATCCCATATAGTTAAATAGAAAAGAAAAAAGAATAATAATAATAAAAAGGCAGCTATTTCTGCAAAAATAATTTAAGTTCTGCATTTGAAAGCAAGAGCAAGATAAATTGTGACACATTTTCATCCAAGATGTTTATTAAAGATGATATGGGCACAACACACAGATAAACCACGTCCTGAAGCAGGATTAAACTAGATTTCACATTTTAAAGCTGTGCATGCAGCTTGCTGTTTCTCCATCTGGAGAGCTCATCGGCACCTTCTTTATATATATCCCTGCAGTTCTAAATCGACAAATGACAAACACAGCCTCTATTTTTATGGGTATCATTTACTTCACTTTTTATTAAAACGATTAGCTACAAAATACACGTTTTGTACATACCAGTTCTAAATAAGCAGCTATGAAAAAATTACATTAGTCCTGAAATGAGACCACCATATCGCGCACATTGGATGTGTTAAAGGGTCAGAAACAATAGAAAATATATAGAGATCAGATGAAGTACTCACATCACACTGGAAGGTTAAACTACACCTTCAAAGACATCAGCCCACATGTTGGCTTGAGACACACTTTCTGCAAACATTGAAAAAGTTCTCTCATTTAAAAAAGAACTGCAGCCACTACAGTATCTGCACAGAGAAATGCACTAACATGAAGAGAGACAACACTTTTTTGACAGTAGTGTCATCAAAAAAACACCACAGGTCAAATTCTTCGCTGATGGAAGGTGACATAGCTTCCCCTGAATCAAAAATTAAGTACTCACCAAGATTCCGGATCATAATCAAAAAATCCTGACACTATCATGTCTTTCACTTCAAGGACGAAAAAGAAAAGGAGGAGGGTTAGCAGTCCTATCCACCATAAGAAGCAAAAGCCAAGTCATTGCATCCATTCAGCACCCCTTGCCACACTCTGCAACTGGCTGGGAGGCTAAATAAGCTTTATGGGCCCTGAAATTAGTGAAATGTTTTCCAAAATCATGATAACTGGTAAACCCAAAAGCACAAAGTAATAAAAAAGTATTCTGCACATATTACAGGGCAGAATCCAGGGGCCATATTCTGCCATTTATTTTCATGTTAATATCAACACGGGGTTTGGTTTGAAATCCAATGACTCCCTAGAGTAGCACAAGAAAATTCACTTCCAGGACACTGTTAAAGACATCCGTCAAGTTCTGCAGATTTGATTCTTCCTCTTATCTACTGCTTTGATATTGTGACCTCCTTGGTTATCGTGACCTTTTCTAAACTTTCTATACCATCATCCTGGAGATTGGAAGTAGGAATGTCACGCAATTTTGGATCCTAGTACAATGTAGGAATTGAAAACATAAAAGCATTGTGTTTAAAGACAACTTTCAGCAATACAGAAAATGTTATAGCAGAAAGGTTCATATTGGTCGGTGTTACCTCGAATACAGGATAGGGAACAACCATTAAAACACTAAGGTAAGTAGGTGTTGATTACAGTGTGAAATACAGTGTTATTTCAATTAATCTGCTGCAAGAACTTTACCCCAAGAAATAAATTTTTGTCTTCACAAAATTGATTATTTTATAGCTAGAATGAAAACAAATCAGAAGTATACTATAATTCTTAACATGAAGACAAAGTTTAGAACCTCATTTTGCATCTTAAGGTTGACCAGAAATACTTTGGTAGTTCCCATCCTAAGAACAATCAGGCTTTCACTGATCACTGCCACCTTAATTTCAGTGCCAAAATATAAATTATACACTCATAACATAAAACCAAGTCACCTAAAATCTGTAGGCAAATATAGACAGACAATGACAAATACGTATTTTTGCTACATTCTTAACATACAGTTACTATGCTTAAAAATACACATCTTTCAGGTAAATATGCTTTTTTTTTTCTCTGCAATAATTTTAAAGCGCATCTAAATCTGTTAAATAAATATTTATGCTTTAAAAATAGAGGAAGATGAACAACAGTTCCGAAATTACAGGTAACTCCTGTTACCAAAGAGTTAAGTATTTCTAAGACACCTTTCCTATATTCTCAGCACTGCTGTAGCACTGGTGATGTTTTGTGTGGGCAACGTTGGCAAACACTGACCAGGCCTAATCATTTGACTTCACAGAATCAAAAAATCATTTAGGTTGGAAGGGACCTTAGAAGGTCATCTAGTTCTACCTGCTAAAAGCAGGGTCAATGTTGACTTTTTGGGGCTTTGTCCAGCCAGACCCTGCAAATCTCCAAGGACGGTGACTGCACAACCCTGCCAGGCCCTTGTTCTATTGCCTGATGGTGCTCACAGTGGAAAATCTGGGCAACTCACCTAATAAGGGGCCCTGAGGAACTCCTTAAGTTCATGATTTCCAGTCTTTCTGTAAATACCAACTAGGCCTCTACCCCTAAACACATACCAAAATACAGTTTTGACAGAGTAGACAGAGAACTAACTAGCATTTTAAAGCTCATTGAGCTAAATTCACTACTACCAGTAACTCAAGAGGAGTATTGCCTGTATATATAAGCGATCACTTTGAGCTACACTGTGCACAGGCACCCCATAAACAGCTGCCCTCCTTGGGACACGGACACCATTTTCAGAAGTGTTCCCCCAAGGAAACACTTCCCAGAATGGTGGTGGTGCTGCAAGCACTGGTCTGTCTCAGCCCCCATCAGCAAATACTTTTGTGTGAAGAGGTATTCTACCTGCAAAGCTCTCTGAACATCACTATGTTAAACAACGGTTTCCAACCTATATGTCAAGCTTTTTACTACCTTTCACAAAATAGCACCAGGATGCTGCTGCCATTCTCTGTCCATAAATATCACACATGAGCAGCGCCTGGTGCTGAAGAGCTACAGCTACAAGTCCTTAGCGAGCAGTTCAATTTCATCCAGCAAGAAGTCCATGTCCTCTCGACTCACTTGTGGGCTGATCACCACCTGGCGGAAGAAGTTGACTTTGCCCCGGTGAGGCTGGTACCCAAGCATCATGCTGCCCTTCTTCATCATTCTTTCCTTAATTATTGGAGCAACCTGAAAGCAGAGACAGAAAAGGCTTATTGTCACCCTCAGAAATATGCCAGATTTGGACAGAAATTGTTTTTTGCTTTATGAAGCTTTTTTGAAGTGTCTGAGTCTTGCACCCCTTGCCTGTCTTCCAGTTGCCTGCCCCAAGAAACATTAAGGCTCAAACCTGAAGGCTTACAGGCAGACCGTGCACTGAGACCCTGAGGTTCTGGGACTCCGAGGGGAATCAGAGCAAGATCTAAATCACTCAAAAGCCTACTGCTTGCAGCATTCATCTGCCACGTGGGAAAGCTTGGGTTAAGGTTCCTAAGCCCTAGATTTAGAAAGGTTTGAACTCAGGCAGAACATCAGCTGCAGCCGGTTAAGGGTACAGTTTATCTCCTTGTGCTAACTAGGCTAAGCGTGATTACTTGTACTTCATGGCCCTTGTCCCACCACATCTGCAAAGCAGTTCTCCCTAGAGGACACTCTCCATTAAAACCCTGCGAACCTTGAGCTGCCAGAGAAGTCAGAGTGATGCAATATTAAGGGAGAAGTCCTGATCCTGGAGGTTAAGATTTCGTCTCTTAGATTTATGATGCAAGTAGCATTTGGCTACTCCGCTCTTGTACTGAACGGGATGAAATCTCATAGGTGTCTCAGTGCAGGATGAGCCATAAGTAAGATTGGCAGAGTCAGGTCCTTATAGCTGAACACTTGATCTCATCCCAGCAGGGCTATTAACCTTGTCCAATTAATCTTATGCTTAACTTTAAGCATGCGAGCAGTTCTTCTGTGTCCTCATGCTTGAAATAAGTCATAAGCTTAAATGCGTTGCTGGATTAAGTACTCTGTTCCTTGAAAGACAGAATTCAACACACGTAAGTATTTTGACAGAAGTAATATTTTAAAGACATGTTGCATTTTAATATATTACTAATAACACTAATGTATTTCAGAACAGTGCACTCCTTTGCAGCCTTTTGTGATGGTTTAACTTGGAACAAAGCAAAAATGTGTATGACCTAACCTTGGTTTCTGCATTAATTTATTTCAGCTCTAAAAGTTAGTGCTGGAAACTACCACCTGATCTGCAAAAGAAAAATGATGATGCCAGCCATGCCTTAATAGCTTTATTTTCACATGGCACATTTTAGGAGGCAACTCCCATACGGTTTGCTTAGATAGAAACACCTACAGTTTTCAACACTAACAGCCTAGCTTTTCCATATTTGCTCAGTGGTAGATGTCTAAATTACCATTCTTTCAAAATGTATATTGAATTCAGAGGAGGAATGGTTCTAACTTAATTTGCCTCTCTGAATTTGGTTTATCTTTGTGACAAAGCTACGTGTTTTATTTAGTGTTTGTTTTTTAAACTATGAGAGTGATGGAGTAAGCATTCTAATTAAAGTCCAGAGTGTGACATCGGTATGAATTATACACCTGAGAGCAATGAATATCCTTTCAGAATGCAATCTGTAAACAGAAGTTTGTTTTTTTGCATAATGCTGCAAGCAAAAATTGAGCAATAAGTTATGAAAGTAGTTCTGATAAACATTTGAGAAACATGAAGATAACAATGAGGACAGGAAGACTAAGAATTACAGCAGAAATGTTAGAGGCATACTGTGATACCTTCACTCACATTCAACAGCACCTATTTCCATAAAATCTAATGTAGAGCTCCGGGCGTGCCTCCTGCATAAAGATCCTAGTGAAAGCCAGCAACAAAATCACAATTCTACTGTATATGTGCAACACGTGCATCATTTAGAAAGAGAATTCATCAAATCGTTCCCTATACCATGGAAAGAAAAACATCTCCCACCTGGGTTTCTGTCTGCTTGGCAAATGATTCAAGATTTCCTCGGTTTTGTTGTTCTATGGCTCAGAATCACATCAGACTAACCTCATTTAGTCCATACTCAAGCAAAAAGAAAAATGCACTGGAGTTCTGCTTGGATGGAGATAGCAGTTATTTTGCATGAGACAGCCTCCTTTGTCCTGAAAAGTATGTTTCTTGGCAAACAGTCCTCTCTATTTCAGATCAAATATTCCAAACTGTGTCCCAACAAATCATTGAATGCCGTACAGTACAGTGCTAGCACGAGGGCAAAATCTGGACTCCAATTATTCTTGCCCAAGTTGCCAGCAGTGGAGTTAAATGGAAAGACTCTTGGTTGGGATCACTCTTGGTTGTTCATGCCAATGTATAGACCTGCAACACACATTCTCTTAAACACTAAGTAAGTTTGTCATGATACATACTCTGCTACTTCTCCCATAGTTTGCTGTGTTAAACCCTTCAACGGTGTATAAGGCTACTACTAAGAGCTCTACTCTTCCATTTTTATTCATGCCAGCTGTGGGCTGAGATTGCAACAATGCTGTGACAGTGCTCAGAAGACATCACACCAGCAGATACCATACTGAGCACCTACTGATACAGAAAAAAAAACAAACACCTCCATCCCTGTCCTTGACAAGAACCCCCATGCGACCTCTACTCAGGGAACAAAAGCAGAACAAGTGCAAGGGGAGAAGTGAATGCTTTTTAATATACTTTCTTAAGCTCTTCTTTAAGATTCAAATCCCTGTGGCAACTTTTAGCCTTTATTGATGTTCTATCAAGAATTATTCCGTTTTTTTTTTTTGGTATCATATTATTGATTCTCTTCATCTCAACACCCAATGCTCCACAATCCATCATTCCAAAATGTGCAGCAGCAGAAATGGGGACCATGAAAGCAAACACGATTTGAACTTTAGCAACAGAAGTTCTGTAAATATACTGCATTTCAGTAGATCTTCTCACAGAAAGGAAAGGTAGGAAATCTCTCTTTCATTATCTCAGTCATTATCTCATTCGTCCTCCATACTAATGAAGTTGTGCTCTTAATATGTTTGAAGTGCATCCTTCCTTTTTTGAAGACAAAACAAACACTTCCTACTTATAAAGAAAACAAACCTAAACTAAACTAAAAGCTGTCTTGCAGGCTTTTGACAGGATTATTTTTGGAAAGGTTTTCCATCACGTATTTTGCATGTTCTATTTGCTAATGTGATGCAGTCAGTGTAACAAAACTATTATGGATCCTATCCACGGCAAACAGTAAGGAACAGAACATTTGCACAAATGCTTGAGTACATGTCTCACAAAAAAAAAACCATTAAATGATGCATGGGATGCTAAGGCATGAATTTGAGGAGCACTGGGTATGACTGCTAACTGAAAGTTAAGGCAACTGCTGATTTGCAGCAGAAAAATCAGCCCTATAAGGAACTAATTACCTAGTGAGGAGTTCAATGAGTTCAATTCCCACTGAAGTCAATGAGAACAGAGGATGTTCAAATATCAGAAAGAGCTGCACAGCCCCAATCAGGATAAGTTCCTAGGAAAGCAATTTAGTGAGAGCAAGATTGCTTCAACAGTCCGATTATTTTACTATGGAACTTACTTCATATATTGTAAACCTAATTCTTTATGTTGCCCATAAGTGGAACAGTCTCAGAATTTTAAGTGTAATGTATCCTAAAACCTAAACTCTCTTCTCTCTTTCCCTCTCCTCACCATTGCCTTCTCACCATTGCCCTCCCCTGCCAGCCCACCCTGGAGATTATTATTTTAAAAGCTCAGTTCAGCAGTGTATTAGGTATCAGACTCACTAGGAAGGCAGGGAGGGAGTGCAGTGGGTGTAAGGCCCTCCTCCAGCAGAGATACACACATGGCACACAACTGGAGGCCCAGGGAATGGCTTTGCCTGGGGATTGATCTGCACATCATGTTCTCCCCATGCTGTAACAGAGGGGCTGTAACATCTCATGCCACCTGGATTCTTCCCTTACTTTTAATAGCAGAGGTTTTTAAAATTAGAGCAGCAATGACATATGTAGTTAAACCCTTCTCCATTTACCTGGGTGATGGGATAGTCTCTCCTCCTACTCCCTGCCAGCACTCAGCCACACTAGAAACAACAGAAAATTTTAGCCTAAAATTTAAGCTGTTTTTGTCAAGAGCCCAATCTGCAACTGACCCTTATATACATTCGTGTGGAAGATGACAATGTTCCTTCCCAGCGCATAAACAGACACAGAGCTATGTGGTAAGTAGAAAGGGCCAGCATGGACACTGCAGCTGGAGTATCGACATGCACCAGGAGGACCAGGAAAGTATCACGTTTCCCTCTCAGTATCTTAAGTATCCTTGAGAACAGTGGGTCTGCACAATCATGCTACAGGCCAGTACCTTAAAAACCACTGTGTTTCCCACGATTGACTCCTCAGTGGTAATTAATGTAGCTTTCTCTAACACTTGAGGAATTTCCACCAAGCTCAGGCCGTGACCACATAACATGCTTCAGCAGCTATCAAGGACTGATTCATCAACAAAGCTGAGCACTTTCTCAGCAGGAAAAGCATACGCCTAGTGTCTCCAAGAGCTAGCTCCCAAGTCTGGATTCTTAAAATCCTTTCAGAGGACTTGATGGAACACGTATTTGAGATCATTTATTCTCCTTCCAGACAGCAAGACCTCCAAAACCATTCTCAAAGTGGCCATGCTATGTAAACATGGCTCTTAAGATATGATAATTTCCTAGCACATGGATTTATTGTGTAAAGTGAAATCTCCAGAGCAGCTCTGTTGAATAGGTGATATTCCTGCCCCATTACTCATGTCACAGTATAACACTTTTGATTTCACTCACTGTAAGGGAAACTCAGGTTGGACCTCTACAGAATAGCTTGCTGATAATGGAAGGTTGTCCTACCTTGGGTATGAATTTCTTTCTCAAAGCCTTCCGTTACCTGTAATGAATCTCTTTTTAGACCTAATTCAGTATTTTCAAACTGTCCCATCACAAACAATTTTCTGTACCTCTAACACTATACCTCTGTTACCCAAATGCTATCAGCACTGTTGTAATTCTCAAAGACTCTGGCTGTATTAGTCTAGTCGTATCAGATGTTAACATACCACCACAACAGGTTTTCCAAACTGTGGGCAACATTTTGTAAATTTTGTA